CTGGCCAGTTCAAGGTCGACTCAGTCTTCCATCTTTCCGAGGTCGATAAAATGAGGATGCAGATTGTTGGGGGGCAACAGGCTGATACTCTAAACCACTCAGACAGGGGCTGTAAAGCGCTTTGGGGGGTATATAAGTCTACGGGCTATTGCTAATTCAAGGCACTTAATTTACAGAGCTCTAAATAGCTGGAGACCCTCTCTCTAAGTCAGGGGTCTTCCAACTTGGCCCTTTGATGACTGGTGGACTTCAGCTCCCAGAATTCCTCAGCCAGCGTGCCTTTTATGACTTGTGTGCTTGGCTGAGGAATTCTGGGAGCTGAAGTCCACCAGTCATCAAAGGGCCCAGTTGGAAGACCCCCGTGTTATAAGCATTTCCTGATGCAAAAAGTAGTTGAGGAGTGGAACAGACATGGTGGATTATTCCTTCATTGAAGGAATAAAGAATATAAGCCGTTTCTTGGGTTTGCAGATTCCTCCATTGGACCTAAATGTTCTCCTTTGCCCTTTCCGGCCCATTTTATTATTCCAAATGCAGAGATAGATTGCCATATATAACAATAATGAAACACAATTACGACCTGTCGTGTAATAAAGACTTTTATAATATGCATTGTTGATCATTTCACTGAGCTGAATCTTGCTGAGATTTCAGGACCACAGGAAAGAGCAATCAATGATCCGTGGAAAATGAAGGAACTCTCCCGTTGGTTTTTTAAATACTTTGTGCCACATAGGTTTAAAACAGGGGTCTTCAAACTTGGCCCTTTTATGACTTGTGGACTTCAACTCCCAGAATTCCTCAGCCAGGCACGCGTGCCTGGCTGAGGAATTCTGGGCGTTGAAGTCCACCAGTCATAAAAGGGCCAAGTTTGAAGACCCCTGCTCTATGTCATCTACCTTAGGAATATTAGCAGAAAAACCTCTTTTTAGGACTTTGGCTATATGTTGAAAAAACAAGGCAGGAAAGATTCTCTGTGCGAGACATTTCAGTAAGCTGAAACAGGAAGTAGTGGTAAAATTAGCTTTTCCACACTCACCCGGAGCCTGTCTTTGGGCAGGGCCACGGCTCCTTGTTTGATAATTTCGAGTACCCGTTCCACGGACAGGGCAGCGCCAGGATGCTCAATCCGCGAGCTAAAGAAGCTGATCACCTGGAATGAAACGGGAAATAAAGGACAGCGACGTGATTTAATTAAGCAATGCCGGGAATCTGTCCGCCACATTAAAAAAAAAACAAACCAAATTTGAAAATCTGCACAACTGGATTATGGTGATGATTGAGTGGCTTCTTAATGGGAACTGGCCAACTACTCCTGTCCCCCCCAAAAATAAGCCCTAAGGCAGGGGTCTTCAAACATGCCCTTTTTATGACTTGTGGACTTCAACTCCCAGAATTCCTCAGCCAGGCACGCTTCATCTAGGCCAGGGGTCTTCAAACTTGGCCCTTTTATGACTTGTGGATTTCAACTCCTGCTTGAGCAGGGGGCTGGACTAGAAGATCTCCAAGGTCCCTCCCAACTCTGTTATTCTGAAAGGGATATCAACCAGTCTAGCAACGTCTCTAAATATACACCTTATCTCCAGAAATCAGGTAGACAGAAATGTTGGCCCTGCCGCGGAGACTGCTACTATTTCTTTAATAATACTCCTTCAAGGCCTTGGAAATGGTTTGCTGCTTGCGATTCCTTTGTACTCAAAGAGTTAGACACCCACCTGGAGCCATTAAGCCTCATTAGGCCTTTACAACTCTACTGCTATTAGTAAAACAAAAGAGAGCAGATGATCTGATTATTCAGGGATTCAAATCAGACACACCATTGCTGCAAGCAACTACAGACGCTGCCTCCCTAATCTGGAGCAGAAGATTATTGCGGCCTGGACCCAGGGCTTTGGAGAAAAAAGTGCAAAGCCAATGAAATTCAGCAGAAAAAGCATTTACTGTACTCAGTGATGAAATCACTTCGCTGATACTAATAATTTCCCACTGCAAATCCTAAACAAACTTCTTTCGAAGATGTGAAACGCACCCAATTAGAAGCAGACTTTTTTTTTTTCCCCAATGCTGCATCACAAAGAGCACTTGCAATAAAATGGAATTTTTTAAAGGGGAAAAAAATGTGCCTTTTTTTATCGGCGACATTGGTTCCAGGCTCCAAATACTTTGCAATATTTTTCACTAGGGTGGGGGTGGGCAACGGAGGCCCCTTGACGGCTTGTGGACTTCAACTCCCAGAATTCCCGAGCCAGCCACGCGAAACTATTTTTCCTACTTAGGACCACTGCAGCATCCTGTGGTCACGTGATCCAAATTTGGATGCTTGGCAACTGGCATGTACTTAAGACGGTTGCCGTGTCCTGGGATTATCTGTGATCACTTTTTGCGACCGGGGAAGGCAGATTCACTTAGCAACCACGTTACTAACTGATCGACTGCAGTGATTCATTTAACAACTGTCGCAAAAAAAAGATTGTAAGGTAACTTAACAACTGTCTTGCTTAGCAAAGAATTTTGGGGCTCAATTGTGCTTACAAGGACAGCTCAGGATAGCTGCCTCCCTCGTTTTGAACCCAACAGGTCCCGTTAAATCACCACCGATCATTTAAAAATAACACTTCTTCATTGTGAGTTCACAAAGACATCCACAGAAGTGAACAACTGACAAGGTAGATCTGCCTTCTGCTTTCCCAGTTCCTTTGTCGTTGTTGCTTATCAGATCGATTTGTCTAGTAGGAAAATTCTCGACACAACAAAAGAAATAGCCAACTTGCTATTATAACACGCATGACTTCAGTCCAGTTTTTGCAACTGCCAGCGAGGGGGGAAAAAACCCACCACGTTCGCCAGAAGGGGAGTCCACTTAGCCCTGGAACAGATTTCGGCAATAAACGAAAACAGAATTCGTACTAGCCTTGGTTACTAAGTGACCCAGATGTTTTTTATCTGCACAACTCAAACCCACAAATCTAAGCAAGCGTCATTCGTGTATTCTGCAAATAACATTAAGCACGGCTTTAGGAATATAAGAGGCATGGGGTATCTTTCTGCCGTTGTGGTCTTTTTTTCTTTGCATTTTCTGAAGACCAGGGAGAGAGAGCTGGAAACGAAGCGTCTTCCTGGCTCTCTTATACAGCCACAGGGGTGGCTAAAATCTCTTCAGCAAGGGATTCCTTTGTTTTATAGGTATAGCCCAGGGGAAGGCAACCTTGGCCCTTTTATGACTCCTGGACTTCAACTCCCACAATTCCTGAGCCAGCGTGGCTCAGCTTGGAAACCTCTCCCTGTCCCCTCAGCATGGCTGGCTCAGGAATTCTGGGAGTTGAAGTCCACCAGTCATAAAAGAGCCAAGGTGGGCCTACCCCTGCCCAAATGCCTGAATTTTGATCATGTGGCCGTGAGGAAAAATATTTAAATATTTAAACCAGGGGTCTTCAAACTTGACCCTTTTATGACTGGTGGACTTCAACTCCCAGAATTCCTGGGCCAGCATGGAGGAACTATGGCCCCCTCATGGCTTGTGGACTTCAACTCCCAGAATTCCTGAGTCAGCATGGGGGAATTATGTCCCCTTCATGACTGGTGGACTTCAACTCCCAGAATTCCTGAGCCAGCATGGAGGAACTATGGCCCCCTCATGGCTTGTGGACTTCAACTCCCAGAATTCCTGAGTCAGCATGGGGGAATTATGTCCCCTTCATGACTGGTGGACTTCAACTCCCAGAATTCCTGGGCCAGCATGGAGGAACTATGGCCCCCTTATGGCTTGTGGACTTCAACTCCCAGAATTCCTGAGTCAGCATGACTCAGCTTGGAAACCTCTCCCTTTTCCCTCAGCATGGCTGGCTCAGGAATTCTGGGAGTTGAAGTCCACCAGTCATAAAAGAGCCAAGGTGGGCCTACCCCTGGTATAGCCCTTGACTTACGATCACAATTCAGCCCAAAATTCCTCTTGCTACGCAAAACAGTTGCAAAGTGAGTTTTGCCCCATTTTATGACCTTTCTCGCCAAAACTGTTACGTGAACCACTGCAGTTGATAAGTTAGTAACCCGGTTGTTAAATGAATCTGGCCTCCCCATTGCTTGCCAGGAGGTTGGAAAAAGTGATCACACGACTCCGGGATACCGCAACTGTCACAAATACATGCCAGTTGCCAAGCATCCGAATTACGGTCACATGACCATGGGGATGCTGCCACAGTTGTAAGTGTGAACAGTCATAAGTTCCTTTTTTCAGTGCCGTTGTAATATAACAACAACAACAACAACAATAAAGTTGGAAGGGACCTTGGAGGTCATCTAGTCCAACCCCCTGCTCAGGCAAGAAACCCTATATCATTTCGGACAAATGGCTGTCCAGTCTCTTCTTGAAAACTTCCATTGTTGGAACATTCACCACTTCTGGAGGCAGGTTGTTCCACTGGTTAATTGTTCTGACTGTCAGGAAATTCCTCCTTAGTTCCAGGTTGCTTCTCTCCTGGATGAGTTTCCATCTGTTGCTTCTTGTCCTGCCTTCAGGCGCTTTGGAGAATAGCTTGACTCCCTCTTCTTTGGGGCAGCCCCTGAGATACTGGAAGACTGCTATCATGTCCCCCCTTCTCTTCATTAAACTAGACATACCCAATTCCAGCAGCCGTTCCTTATATGTTTCAGCCTCCAGTCCCCTGATCCTCTTTGTTGCTCTTCTCTGCACTCTTTCTAGAGTCTCAGCATCTTTTTTTACATCGTGGTGACCAAAACTGGATGCCGTATTCCAAGTGTGGCCTTACCAAGGCCTTGTAAAGTGGTATTAACCCTCCACGTGATCTTGATTCTCTCCCTCTGTTAATGCAGCCCAGCACTGTGTTGGCCTTTTTGGCAGCTGCAGCACACGGCTGGCTCCTGTTTAAGGGATCGTCCACTAGGACTCTGAGGTCCCTCTCACAGTTACTACAAAAAGACTTGGAAGAAGCCCAGTTCTTACTCGGCTTCTGTTGTAAAGCCTGTGACTTGTTTCCTTCTGCTAAAGAGCTGAAGGGATGGTTGTGTGTCCCAGTTTGGCAAAACAATCTCCGTTGTGTCCTGAGGGAGGCCGGACTGTTCTCTGGGCTTTTCCAACCCCATTCCTCATGCAGGGAGAAAGGACTCCGAGATGTCCTGCATGAGTCTTGTGTTTAAAAAAAAAAAAAAGACGAAGGAAAGACGATGGCGAGGGACAACAGGAAGGCACCGTGGAGGAAGTTAATGATCAGAGGTCGCTTCAAAAGGATTCTATCCGCCAGGATCTTCCCATCTTGGTTATTTCTTTGAGTTGTTCTATGCCAGGGGCAGGCAACCTTGGCTCTTTTATGACTCGTGGACTTCAACTCCCAGAATTCCTGAGCCAGCATAGCTGGCTCAGGAATTCTGGGAGTTGAAGTCCACGAGTCATAAAAGAGCCAAGGTGGCCTACCCCTGGTCTATGCGCTGGCTGGTGTCAGCTTGGAGGATATCCAGCCACTGTATTCTTTGGTAGCCTGGTTTCCTTTTACCGCTCACTCTTCCAATTGCTTTTTCCAGTGAATCCCCCTGCATGACATGGCCAAAATAAGCGAGATGCAGTTTTGTGATTTTTTTTCCCCTTCTTCTAGCGACATGTCTGATGCTAAGCATGCCAGCACTTGCCCGTTAGTCACCTTTGCTATCCATGGAATATGCCGGAGTCTTCTCCAGCACCCCAGCTCAAAGGAGTCTGTTTTCTTCCTGTCTTTGCTTTTTTAAGATCCAATTTTCACAGCCGTAGTTGTGATCTATGCTTATTAAACACTCTTTGGCTGGCAACTTGGTGAGTTTTCTCCAGTGATGGGTTTTGGAGAACAAGTCAAAATACTATATTTTATTTTTATTTTTTTGCAGGATTTTGGAAGACCTGGCAAGAAGAGCTGATGCTGTTATTTTTTCTTTTGTTTTCCTGTTATTCTGTACTGTAATACTGTTCCTATGCTGGCTTTAATATAACAACTTTTATTTCGGTGTAAACCTCCCATGCTGATCACTTGATGAAAAGCTTGGAGAAACTATTTTAAACAAATGCATATGAAAACTTTATTGAACTGTTTTTCAGGAATATGTATGTATGTATGTATGTATGTATGTATGTATGTATGTATGTATGTATATATATACACATACACACACACACACACATACATATATTCAGTTGATCAAATAATGACAAGTGACAAACTGCATTATTGAAATGTCTTTGCCAAGAATTCCTTAATAAATTCTGATTTCCAACATTGAGCGTAGATCCAGCATTTTCCAATCATTGTTATACCTGTTGATTTGCTTTTCGAGAGCGTTAAAATTTATTTTCGTCTGTTACAATTCCTCTGAGCTTATGGAATAAATAAGCATCGATTTATTTCTTCCAATACACTGATGTTCACAGCTGTGTTTGCCATAAAATAACATTATATTCCTACAGAATTTGGCTGGAGGAAGAGCATATTTTTACTCATTTATTTTAAAATGTGTCTAGATTAATTTTTGTATGTTTCTTTAGGTACCCTTCAGCGGATAAAGCAGCATATTCTCATATCAAAGCAGCCACAAATAAAGAAATATCCTGCTAGAAAGCTGAAGCAATCTGAAGCCCTTTCAAAAGCATCTGATCTCTTCTCATTTCTCTGCCAGGAAACGTGGAGGCATTTTTGGCCAAAGCTGGCTTCTCACAATATAAAAAATATTTAAATTCTCCGATGCTAGCAGCTTTCACATTCCACTTCTATAGAAAATTTAACGGTGACTTCTTGTCGAATGAAAAGCGCAATATAAAGACACTGACATAACCAGCAGATGCACAGTTAATTTGAGAAACAAATGCGACTATTTTAGTGGGAGGTCTTAAATGCAAGATGGCAAGTGAAGGGGCCTGTCAAAATAAGGGCTAGCAAATTCCACAGCTTTACATCCAATAAAGTTATTTTTGACCTCTTTGAAAGGTTCACTTTTACCGTTTGCATAATCTTCAACCCAAATAATCCCATTATGATGAAAACCCCTTAACTTACAACTATTCATTTAGTGACTGTTCAAAGTTACAACAGCACCGGAAAAAGTGATTTATGACCGTTTTTCACACAATTGCGGCATCCCCCAGGGCAGGGGTAGGTAACCTTGGCTCTTTTACGACTCGTGGACTTCAGCTCCCAGAATTCCTGAGCCGGCATGGCTCAGCTTGGAAACCTCTCCCTTTCCCCTCAGCATGGCTGGCTCAGGAATTCTGGGAGTTGAAGTCCACGAGCCATAAAAGGGCCAAGGTTGCCTACCCCTGGCCTAGGTCTAGGCCTAGGCCGCTTTTTGACTCGTGGACTTCAACTCCCAGAATTCCTGAGCCAGCCTGGCTCAGCTTGGAAACATCTCCCTTTCCTCTCAGCGGGGCTGGCTCAGGAATTCTGGGAATTGAAGTCCACAAGTCATAAAAGGGCCAAGGTTGCTTACCCCTGATTTCTATACAAAATAAAAGTAGCTATTTTAAATTTTAAATAGCATTTTGACAGATATTTAGTACATACCAGATCTATATTCTGCATTATATCCTGGAAAGAGGGGTGAGTTCGAAATTGCTCAAAGAGATCCCGCTTATATAGCAGGGCATACACTAAATTGGGGTTATGATGGAGGGAATTTGTTAAGCAGGAGTTGATTATTTCTAACATCATTCGAATGACTTCTTCAATTACATTCAAATCCTGGGCCTAAAAGAAAGAAACAAAAGATATTTCTAGTTAGGGCAGGTATTATTAATATACATACAACATATAAGAATACTTCATTACTTTTTCTCTAGGTTATCGTTCAAGAACAAATTAATTAAACGTTTTAGCAGAGCAAGTAATTTTGACGAAACATAATATATTTATTTCCATATTTAATTCTCAGCAAAATTTATTTCCTTGACAATATAAATAAATCATCCATCTCAAAAGGCTCAGCAGACTGAGTGATTTTGTTATTTTTTAAAATGTAAGCAATTGTATGTGACCTTTCAGATAGCTTTACATGCAGCAAATGCGTGTGAATTCCATCAAACTGTACAGTTCTGCAGAAATTAGCAGGGTTTTCTTGATAAGGACCCCAAAACAATCCCAATGTAATTGTATTTTATTATTTTACACCAACTATACTAGGGATCCTTTTAGTACTGAATGCTCAATAAATAATAAACGTGTTATGGAAAAATAAGCTGATTCTGATCTTAAACGCCCAGGAGTGAAGGGCTGTTTAGGATATTATAATAGTTGCAATGGTAAAAAACTGTCAATGGCAAACCACATCTGAAATCTTGGCAAGAAAACTTCACAGATTAGTCCAGGCGATTGCCAGGAGTCAATACTTGCCTTGGAAACACCAAATAAATAAATTAAAAAAAAAAAAAGATTGGGGAAAATTTGTAAGCTAAAATGTCCTCTTTGGAAATCATCAAAAGTCAGAGTTGTGATAGAGTTGTGGGGTCCTCTGGTATTCCCTGGGCTTAGTTGTTTTCTTGCAGACATTTCATTACCCAGGTAGGTAACATCATCATTGTTAGCCTAGACCAGGGCTAGTCAACCTTGGCTCTTTTATGACTGGTGGACTTCAACTCCCAGAATTCCTGAGCCAGCCTGGCTCAGCTTGGAAACCTCTCCCTTTCCCCTCAGCATGGCTGGCTCAGGAATTCTGGGAGTTGAAGTCCACGAGTCATAAAAGAGCCAAGTTTGAAGACCCCTACCCTAGGCCTAGAGTCTAGTTCAGGGGTAGGCAACCTTGGCTCTTTTATGACTGGTGGACTTCAACTCCCAGAATTCCTGAGCCAGCCTGGCTCAGCTTGGAAACCTCTCCCTTTCCCCTCAGCATGGTTGGCTCAGGAATTCTGGGAGTTGAAGTCCACGAGTCATAAAAGAGCCAAGGTTGCCTACCCCTGGCCTAGCCATTCATTACCCATGTTAGCCAAAGAGCATGGTGGCTGAACATGATCAAAGCTGACACCAGCCAGAGCATAGAGAAACTCAAAGAAGTAGAGAAGACCGGAAGATGTGGGGTAGACCGGGCCCACAGAATTGCCAAGAGGCAGATACAACTGAATGGACAACATTATTGTCACCACCTCAGATGACCCCTCCTCAACAGAAAATAGGTTCCTATCATATTCAAGAGTCTCTCGGATTCATAAATAACCTTCTAAGATGATCATTAGAATAACTAACCATTGTGTTTAATCATATCCTTGGCAGCAGAAGGGATTGCATGCAAAGAGATTGTAGAGATGAGATGGGAGATTTTACACCAGGGGTCTTTTCCAACTTGGCCCTTTTATGACTTGTGGACTTCAACTCCCAGAATTCCTCAGCCAGGTTGACGTCCACAAGTCACAAAGGAGCCAAGTTGGAAGACCCCTGGTCTGGATCGAAGCCCGCAGTTTCATCAAAATAGCCGATTTGAGGAATTCTGGGAGTTGAAGTCCACCAGTCATAAAAGAGCCAAGTCTGAAGACCCCTACCCTAGGCCTAGAGTCTAGTCCACCTCCGATATACACTACATAAATGTGACAAAAACAAATAAATAAATAATTCTATTCTTCTGCAGCAGGGTGCTTTATGTACCGTAGTTAAACTCATTCCTATGTATACAGAACCGTTTCCAGACAAAAATTACACTATTTGCAGGATAAACAACAAAATACATCAGAAGAACCATAATCCCTTCAGAGCTGACCTGCCTTGCAACGGGAGGAGGATTCATTTGAATGAGGAATGACAGGGCTTGCGATGATCCCTGTGCCAAGTGTGAATGTTTTTAAGTTGCATATCCTTAAATCCGGTCTGGGGTTGTGTGGGCAAGAAAGAGGAAGGGTTTTATCAAATATAAGGCACTCTCTTCGTCACAGGGCTTAGATGAACAGAAGCAGAAATATCCTCCAGGCGACCTCCTGATACGCTAGGATGTCAGGGGAAGGATATTAAGGTAATTCATCTTAAAAACCAACAGGAGCCCGGCTCCTTCAAGCCAAATGTTTATTTAGTGAAGCGTGGTGGTTCCCCACAGTGACCAGCTACTTATCTCATTCCTGGGGGCCTCCAGGCGAGGAAAGGCAGCCACTTTCTCCTGCAATTGGGATTCGGTGGCAGACTGGAGTCCATGGATTAGTCCAGGGCTAGGCAACCTTGGCCCTTTTATGACTGGTGGACTTCAACTCCCAGAATTCCTGAGCCAGCCTGGCTCAGCTTGGAAACCTCTCCCTTCCCCCTCAGCATGGCTGGCTCAGGAATTCTGGGAGTTGAAGTCCACCAGTCATAAAAGAGCCAAGTTTGAAGACCCCTACCCTAGGCCTAGAGTCTAGACCAGGGGTAGGCAACCTTGTCTCTTTTATGACTGGTGGACTTCAACTCCCAGAATTCCTGAGCCAGCATGGCTCAGCTTGGAAACCTCTCCCTTTCTCCTCAGCATGGCTGGCTGAGGAATTCTGGGAGTTGAAGTCCACCAGTCATAAAAGAGCCCAGGTTGCCTAACCCTGGACTAATCTATCAATTCTGCAAAAGTGAGTGCGCTCAAATCAGGCCTTGCTCTCCTCCAGGGCTGTAGGTGTTTTCCTGGAAGGAAAGCACCTGGAAAGCATTACACTAAAGTGGGACAAACCTAGATAAATGAGTGTGCTCAGTTTTCTAGGGAAAAAAACAACAACTGTGAGAACTAGGAGGGGAATGAATTCCTGATGTTCACTGACTGAGGCTGATTCCTGGGAAATTGGGTTTCATCCCCTTCCCCTTTGGGAAATACAGGCAGTCCTCGCCTTACAACCATTTGTTTCAGGGGCTGTTCGAAGTCACAACAGCACTGGAAAAAAGGACAGCTACTGCAGCACCCCTGCGATCACATGATCGAAATTGGGACACTTGGCAACTGGCATGTACTTAGGACGGTTGCAGGGTCCCAGGTCAGGTGATCCCGTTTTGTGACCCTTCTGGCAAGCAGAGTCAATGGGGGAACCCAGATTGACTTAACAACCGTGTTGTTAAGAGCGCCACTGATTCACTTATCAACTATGGCAAGAAAAGTCGTCACATGGGGCGAAAGTCACTTAGCGACTGTCTTGCCTAACAACAAGAATTATTGGGCTCAATTGCAGTCGTACGTTGAGGACTACCTGGACTGTAAAATTAAGTAGATGTCAATGCTGCTAACATCGGATGTTTCTGCATTGACAACAGAGGGAAATGTGGCCCTCTTTTTCCCTTTTGCCTTTAGAGTTAGATGATGGTGGGAGGGAGGGATGTGAACGAGAGTCCAGCTAGACATAACAACACTAAACTCAGTGTGAGAATCAAGGTTATTGAGCCCAGAGCTGATAAAAGAATTAATGGGCTGGAGAACTGGAGAGGGAAGCGCTAATTGGGGAATGTGATTTATGACAGTTAATTAGAGGAGGGAATTGTGCTTTGATACTATGTGCCCAGGGGAGGGGAATCCAGTTTTTGGCTTTGATTATGTAGTGCCCATGTTATGCTACTCAAAATAAAGATTCTTTAAGGTAAACAATGCCTCGAAGTTCTTTTGCAGTTTCATCTGTCGGAGCCATGACAGTAAAAGTCTGAGGTGGCCTTAAAATGTGGAGTGGCAGCTTACGAGCACGGGTCTACCTAAGCTCCACATAGAACATAATGTAGATCAGGGGTGTCAAACTGCTGGCCGGCGGGCTGGATGCGTCATGCCGAAGCCGTGCCCACCCCATTGCCGACAATGGAAAAAAAGTCGCGATACGTCACATGTCAAAGCGTGACGTTGCGAGTTTGACACCCCAGATGTAGATAATAAATACAATGTCAATAATCATGGCAATGAACATGGCTTGTTTTCAGACCACCATTCAGATTAGATAGTATTTGTTTTGAACCTTTTAGGAGATTAAAAACATGCCTACAGAAAACCAGAACCATTTCAGGTAGAGCAAAAGAGCACGGCAAATATTCACAAAGCCTATAGATAAACATCTTAAGGCCATGATTTCCAAATTGTGCACCCTGGGAACTACCACCCTCATATCAGTGTGCTTCTCTCAAAACTTTAAAATAACCTGGAGTGGCCCTATGAATTTATTATTTCTGTTAAGCCCCCAGGTCTCAAACTGTGTGCTGGGGCACACATTTTGGGAATTTCAGGCTGCTATGAAGAAACTACTAGACCAGGGGTAGGCAACCTTGGCTCTTTTATGACTGGTGGACTTCAACTCCCAGAATTCCTGAGCCAGCCTGGCTCAGCTTGGAAACCTCTCCCTTTCCCCTCAGCATGGCTGGCTCAGGAATTCTGGGAGTTGAAGTCCACCAGTCATAAAAGAGCCCAGGTTGCCTACCCCTAGGTTAGACCCTAACTGGATCCATGAGCTGAAAAGTATGGAGTATCTGTTTTGGGGATTTTCTTTTCGAGATAGATAAAAGGAAACCAGGCCACCAAAGAACACGGTGGCTGGACACCATCAAAGCTGACCCCAGCCAGAGCATAGAACAACTCAAAGAAGTAGCGCAAGATGGGAAGATGTGGGGAGAGCTGGCCCATTGAATCCCCAAGGGTCAGACACGACTGACTGGATTATTCTATAGAATTCTTTATTGTTTATTGGCCGAGTGTGACTGGACACACAAGGAATTTGTCTCCGGTACGTAAGTTCTTTGTGTACATGTAAGCAAGAAATGATAAATTGTGACCATAATCAGAAAATGTAATC